CTTGTGTGTCTCAGATTCTATCCCGGCTGATAGTAGTATGCCCTGGTGATGGGGCAGTGTCCTCAGTGTGCATTTTAACCAGTTTCACCTTATAACCTGATACAGGTGAGGATAATGGACCAGCACATTCATTTATTTTATAAATGAAGAAACTAAAGCAAAGGAAGGAATGATTAGTGCATGAAATGGCATTTGAGATACTCATTATCCAAATCTCTTCTCACTTCTGTGGTAGATTGGTTAAAGGTCATAGATTCTTCCCTTCCCTCTATCCATGTCCCTTTGCGATGTAACTTTGCTCTCCTTCTCAGTCAGAGGTGGAGTTTATTTCTCTACCCCTTTGAATCTGGGCTAGACTTATAGCTTGATTTGTAAAATAGAATAAAGTATATGTGATGTTATGCAATTTCTGAGGTGAGACCTTAAGAGGTTGTATGTTCTGCATTTATCTTCTTGGAACACTGCCCCAAGACCATCATGTAAGCTGGTCTAGCCTACTTGTAGATTAGAAGGTGGAGAAAACCATGGCATCTAGCCCTCAGCCAGCACCAACTGCCAGACCTATGAGTGAGGCCATCTTAGACCTTCTAGTTCAGCTGACCTTCCAACTAAATGCTGCTTATGAGTGATCCCAGATAAAATCAGCAGATGTACTCATTTAGCCACCCCCATTATTGTGAGAAACAATAAATTATTGCTGTTTTAAGCCACTGAAGTTTTGGAGCGGTTTGTTATACAGCAATAGATAACTGAAACAACTTTTGCACTCCTGTTACTAGTAAATGGCTTCACTGTCCACCTGGTTGCTTATGCCAATTTCCTTCCCCTCATATCTCACAATTAATTTGCCACCAAGTTCAGGGAATTTTACCTCCTAAATACATATGAAATCCCTCTACTTTCCATTTTCCGCATAGCTATGATGTGAGTTCTGGTCCTCTTCATTTCTCACTTGGATTATTACAGCAATCTCTGTTTCCCATCTCCTGTCTCCCTGCTCCCTACCCTTCCCATCCAATCACAGTCAGAGTTATCTTTCTTACATGCATATGTAACCATGTTATTACTTAAAAACTTTTGCTTGCAAGGTAAATTCCCAAATCTCTAACATGACTTGTGAGGTCTTAGACTATGTGGCCCTGCCTGTTTCCAGTCCCATCTTCCACTACTCTTCTCATTGAACCTTATGTTTTTAGAGCTGCTTCACAAGTTCTGGTGACCTTCTGACCTCCAGCTCCCCCATTGCATGAGGCAACCCACCGAAGGGGTCAAAGGAAAACATTCAACCTGTTGACACTTCTAAGTTCTTAGGTTGACCATGAGGGACTCACTCTGGGGTATAGATTTGAGCCTTGTGAAGATCTGAACATTTTATGACATCCACACTTATGCTATTACCTTTTCTAAGTGATTTATTCAATAAAAAGCATCAATTTTTTAATTTCATGTGAGAAGCAAGAGCTAGAGAAGGCTGATTACTCTGGCAACTAAAAATGATTTAAGGAAATTTTGTTTGTAGGACTCTTAATCATACTGATGTTCACTGAACAACCACAATTCTGAGGTCTAACAGAAAGAGTCTGGACTTGGAGTTAGGCAGATGTGGTATCTAGCTCTGCTATTTACCAGGTGTGTGACGTTGGCAAGTCACGTAAACTTTCTGACTTCTGTTTCCTCGTTTGTGAAAAAGGAATGACAATTCATACTTTGCATGATGGTATTGAGGACTAAATGAGATAAAAGATGTGAATGAGCCCACTATATTTTAAGATCTTAATGACTGTAATTGTTAACCAATCTGATCCAAGGCAAAAAGTACAGTTTTGTCTTTCTTTCTATTTCTCCTTGGGCATTTGGATCTAGAAGTGAAGGAAGTCCAATATAATTTGATTTGTTCCTCTCTCTGGTGGTCACCTGCTAGTCCATAGGGAGGTAGCTATTGGGGGTATAAATGATACCGCCCAAATGTCAGATGTGGCCTCTCTTCCCCTTTAAGATCTAAATACAATGGGCTTTAACTTCAATTTTCACATTTTATAACCCTTGTAAATTCGAAGCCCCACAGGAGATTTCATAAGGGCTTGTGCTCTCATAGTCTCTGCCACTACTCTCCTTTTTTAAAAAAATTTATTTATTATTATTTTTTATACCTACAGCACCTGGTCTTCCTAGGTGGTCTCTCATCCAAGAACTCATCAGGCCCAACCCTGGTTAGCTTCCGAGATCAGACATCGGGCTTGTTCAGGGTGGCATGGCTGTAGACCATAGACCGTGGCTCCACTGGGGCACGAATCCAGGACCTTCTGCGTGTAAAGCAGACGTGCTAACCGCTACACTATGGAACCACATCAACTACTCTCTTTTTTCAACTCAGAAAAACAAAGCCCATTGCTTAATTTGCTTACTCGCCTTCACAACTCCCCACTTTCAGGGAGCATGCTTGAGTGTAATGGCTTTTACCGAAGTCTGGAAGTCAAGAGAGAGGTTTACATCATATGTTTGATAAACGTATCCCTTATGTATTCCAGTGCTTAAACGCCCTTTTGTCTACCTGCCATGGGAGGGTTTCTTCTGATCCTTTACCCAGGTAGCTAATTAACTAATTAACTAATTTTTTTCCTTTCTTCTGCTGGCTCTCTTTATTACCTCTCCCTCCCATTTTGCCAAGTGAATTCAAAATTGTCCTCCCGTTTTTACACAGAGCAATTTAGTGTTCCTTTTTCTCCTCACATACTTACATATCCACACTCCTCAAGGCCCCAAGTAGAACAAAGGACCTCCTGTGCATTAGGATCTATCTTTCTTAGAAGGCAGTTGTGACTAAAAGTAGCATTTTTTTTCTGTTATAATAACCACAGTGTTTCTTATTTACTGAGTGCTTACTATGTGCCTGACACTCTATCAGGTGCTTCTTAGTCACTATCTCTTTTTCTTATTTGACCTTCACAACGAGCCTGGGAGGTAGCTCTCATTATTGCTATTTATGCAAATGAGAATGAGGTGCATGTATCAGGAAAAAATGAAGTAATTCATATAAGATCACACAGCAAGCAAGTGGTGGAACAATATTGAAAACCAAATCTGTCTGGCCCCAAGTCTGTGCTCTTTCCACTTTATTATATAGCCTTTCATGGAGAGGAGGAAGAGAAAGTAATCAGAAGACCTGAGGCTACATAACTGCAATACCATCTGTTCCCATATTGTTTTGCAACTTTAAAAGATGGTTTTGTATGTTATCTCATTACTCCTGTGAAGAATGAAAAATCATTATCATCACACCCATTTTGCAATGAGGAAACTAGTGTCTTGTGAGAGAAAGGGAGTGAGGGACCTGCGTTGTAGGGTATTTGATTTTAAGATCACAGGGGCACTAGTGGTTAAGAAGTTCAGAGTGTGACCATGGGTGATGTGAAGAGGAGACCAGGGACTGAGGGATCGGGAAGCCACACGGCTACCGAAGTCACCAGAAGGATGGAAGGACAGGGGCTAATGAGGATGACCATGAGCCAGGGGCTGAAATCGTCAATAAGTAAGGAGCAGTTGGAGGTCAGTAATATCCTTGATGAGGAGGGATAGCGGTGGTGTGGCTGGAGAGCAAAGGAGAAGAAATTTTTGTACAAGAGTGGAAGTGGCAGAGCTCACCCTACCGCCTGGTTTTATGGTGTGCGGAGAGTGGGAAAGTGAGAAGCTCTCTTGCAGGAGGGAACAAGAAGAGAATGAGAAGAGGACCAAGTTTCAGCAAAGGCAAAGAAGTAATCTAAGTACTCTCTGAAGAGAGCAGAGGGTGTAGGAGAGTTCGTTGACAAAGGAATGGGACTCCATAGGGTACAGAGGAAAGGGCTGCCAGGAGATGAACTGTGGGAAGGTGAATGAAGAGGAGCGGGTGGGGAAACTCAGAACAGTATAAAGATGAATCTGACACAGAAGTCAAATAACCAGAGGGGCTGTCAATTAGGTGGTTCCTGAAGTCAGAGAGACAATATGTAGTTAGGATCATAACAGAACTTGGGGGGAAAAAATGAGTTTTGTTTCTAACATGGAACTCTAAGATTTGGAGTAGGGGAAGAGTGTGGAAAAGGACCATGATTCTAAACCAGAGCTGGCAGCTGGCTCTTGTGACCTCAGGAAGACTTGAAGTCCAGGTCAGGATGGGAGGAGGCAGTGCAAACTACCTCCTATACCTGCCTTTGCAGGTATAGGCCGAGCTGGGACTTCTTTGACCAGGCAAGAACATTTTCTTACTCCAGGCAGCTGCTGCTAAAGGGAAGCCATTGAAAGTGTTTCTTTGTTTTTGTTGTTTGTTTAACAAGGTCGATGGTAACATGGTGACATTTAAAACGGTCATTCAGGCTGCTGGAGTAGAGGATGGATTGGAGAGTGGAGGCGGGGAGACTCATTAGGAGACTGTTAGGTTAGTCCAGGCAAGAAGTGATGAGACCTGAACCAGGGTGAGAGCAGTGGAAACGGAGAGGAAGGGAAGGAATAGGATATATTAAGGAGGTGTTATTACCGGACTGGTGGGATATAGGACGTGAAGGAGGGCATGGGTTAGAGGACAATGCCCAGATTCCTGGCCTCATTGCCTCTTGTAGTTAGCTGTCCAGATTCTGCGGTCTACCCATGGGCTTTTGAGGATGAAGCCATATAAAGGACAGGAAAGCGCTCTGGAAATGACAAAATACTGGTACCCATCATCATCTACATTATTATCAAAGCTCTCTGATCACTCTAGTAAGTTCAGCCTGTGGAATGAGGCGTGATAATTAACATAAATCACGATAGTCACCCAGATATTGGGTAACTCAGGGTCCCCAAGATACCTTGGATTTCCGGCACCTGCTGGGGGTGGGGGACCCAGAGGCGGGGCGAATACGGACTCCGCCCCTGGGCGGGGAGTGGGTGGGGCCTGGACACGGCTGTAGCGAAGCTGAGCTGCCTTCGGAACCTCAGCCCTAAGTCGCTGCGGTGAGGACTAGACCAGACCCGCGGGAAACCTCACCGCTCAGCTCTGCAAACTCCGCTGCGCCTTGCGCCGCCAGTCACTTGGTCCCGCCGTTCCACTGCGCTGTCCCGGAGCGAGCCGCTCTCCTGCACGCCGAGTCCCAGGTAAGGGGCGCGGCGCCGGCGCCCCGCCAGGGGAGGGATCGGGGACAGCTCCTCGGCGTGGGGCGCTGGGGACAGTGAGTGGGGCTGAGGAGGAGCGCAGGGCAGCGGAGGGGATACCGAGGAGAAGGGGTCGAGGGAGGCCGTTAAGGAGGCGGCACCGCAGCAGTGAAGGGGCGCGTAGCCTGGGGAGGGGGTGCTGAGGGGGCGTCTACCCAGACTGTGAAGGCCGCTCCGCGGGCAGCGGGCAGTGGGAGTGTGGGGAGCAAGAAAGAAAGCGCCGGAGCTTGGGGAAATGATGAGCGGAGAGTGGAGCGCAATGCGGGGGAAACAGGGGTCGTTGGGGGCGGGGAGATGTAATGAGGGAGCTGAGAGGGGCAGTGCGGGAAGAGGGTACCAGGCAGCCGAGGGGCGGTGAAGGGGGTGCTAAAGCCAGAGGGCTGAGGGGAAGGCGCGGAGGTGAAGAGCTAAGGGGAGAGGGCTGGCTGACTGGCGGGAGTCATTTTGAGCTGGAGAGCAGTGAGTGATGAGGGGAAGGGGCGCTGGGCAGGAGGCGGGTTGCTGGTCGGGGCCAGGGGCAATGAGCATGGAGAGCTGGGAGCGGGAAGGATGCGGAGCAAGAGCCCAGCTGGGTACAGGCAAGACAGGTTACCTGAGTAGAAGGTGAGGGGTGGAGCTTGGGGGTAGGAAGCTTGGAAGAATGGGAAGGTGGGACCCTGAGTGGGTCTACCCTGACTGCAGAGGAAGGAGCCGGGAGCTGGTGGAGGGAGACGGTAGTGGCCTTGGATATGGGCAGTGGAATGGGTGCCTGGATTCTGGCTAGAGGTGGGGGATGGGGTAGAGTAGCACTGGAGTAGAGTAGGGATCTGGTGGCTGAAAGTGGAGGAACTGTCGGGGAACTTGGAAAGTTTAGGATGGTAGGTGCACTGGGTCAGGCTGGGGAGGAGGCCAGATGTGAGTTGTGGTATGAGAGTGGAAAGATGATGGGGGCCCAGAGTGGGCCTCCAGGCACTCTCTGTATCTTAGCTCCTCAGAAGCCTGAGGAAGGCTCACAAGCTCTGCACCCTATTACACTGCCACCTGGGATCAGAGACAAGAGAATCTTGGACAGAACAATTCATTCACAGGCTGACTGTATTCTGGAGTCCAAGTGGGAAGAGACCTTAGGGAGGGCAGAGCAGCAGCCTCTGGGAGCCAACAGAAATGTGCAGTGGGGTGGGAGAAAGACAGGGCCCTCCATCCCCTTCTCAGAATCCAGATGGAAAGGGGTGGGGGATAGTAAAAGGAGTTAGATGCGTGTGTGCACAGGTGGATGCCCACCTGTTCAGTGCCTATAAAGGGTGGAAAACAATGGAAGTTCCTGACAAGCTCTGTCTATGGTAACGGGAAGCCCTGGTACTGTGTTAGCCAGAGGAGAGACATTTTGCTGGAGGATGATGGCTCAGGGAAGACTTTCTAGTCTTGAAGGATTTAGCTAGTACTGGAGGAAAGTATGTTTCCATCAGAGGAAACAGTATGGGAGAAGGCAAAAATCTAAAATGATCTCCAACCTAAGAAATAAATGAAGGATTTCTTTCTTAAGGATTATGATATAAAGGGAGGCATCTACTGATGCCTATAGATGACATTTTTAAAGGTTTCCCCTTTAGATTTGAACTCTTTATAGTCCCTCTTTATCCCTCCAGAGTACAGCACAGGGCCTGGTGCATACTAGGTTGAATGTTGACTGAATGAGTAATTGAGCTGTGTTTGTACTCCTGCCTCAATTTCCCCACTTACCCCCAAGAACTGTTGCGAGGATCAAAAATGATATTGTGGTTGAAAAGAACTTTTATAAACTATAAAGCACTGTACAAAAGAGAAAGGCCATTGACATTATTGTGCAGGTGTGTCCATGGTCACACCCATGGCTCTCTCTTTCCAGTCTGGTGAAAGAAGGAAGTGAACATTTATCAATCATCTATTGTATGCATGATAGAATGCACTGGGAACACCTGGTAGAGTGCCTGGCATTTAGGAGATGATCGATAAATAGTAGCTATTATGAAACTGTTTCTGTGACTTCAAGAGACCTTAGGAAATAGTGAGGAGGTGGGCTGGGCTGGTGGTGATGGGTTGGCAGTGGTGAATGGTCTGAAGAAAGGTTGAATTAGAAAAGTTAGTAGAATATGGCTTTAGGGAGGAGGACGCTTATAGTACGGTGAGGTCCACATATGCCCACTGTTGCCTTATCCTCGCTGATAAATGTTACCAGCAGGAAGATGGAATTAAATTTACTGAGCACCTGCTGCATGTCACATACTGCCTAGATGCTTTACCAACATTGACTATAATCTCCCCAATAATGCTTGTTTTACGAATGAGGAAATTGTGTCTTAGTCATGTAAAATTTCTTGCCAAGGTCTCACAACTAATAAATGGTAGACCTGGAAACTGAATCTAATTTGTTTGATTTGGAACCCCAAGCTATTTCCACTATCCAGGATGATCTGGTAGAAGAAAACACGAAGCACACACACACAAAGAATTTTAAAGGGTTTTATAAAGCACTCTCTGCTCTATACTGCTTTATATTCTATCCTGGTTTAATTCTTATAACAGTTTGCCGTCATTTGATTAACTCATTTTATAGATGAGGAAACTGAGGCCCCAGGTATGATCTGCCTAATGTTACACAACTACAGAGTGAGCCAGGGCTCAATCCAGGTCTCTGTGACTCAGTCTTGTGCTTTTTCCATCAAAAGAGAGGTCTATCCATTCACTTCTTCACTGCATGTATTGAGTTGATCGCTTCTTGCTGGATTTTAGGGCTCTCGTCCTCCTCTCCCTACGTTTTCCTAGCTGAAGTTGGCTTCTTCCTTAGGTGCTTATTTCTGCTGCCTATCAGACTGAAAGTGTTATTTGTTTTTCACAACCAACCCTGGACAGCCATTTCCTTCTTTCCCCCAGCCTGGGACCAGACATGAGTTCCCAGGTGGTTCTTGGGCTTTCATCTGTATTGCTCCTCATGGAAACAATGAGCTACCCAGCTCTGTCATTTGTGTGACTGTCACAAAAGAGAGGGAAGATCTGATTGATGCTTATCTCACAAGTGTGCTTCTGCCTGCACCACTGTGCAGTGACCTGTCTGTTTAGATCTGCCTTGGGCAGCTGCCTGCTGGGATACTTTTTACCTCTCTTCCAAATGTCTATGTGGCCCCTGCCCATCTCTTGAGAAGATCTCCTAAGGCAGGGGTCCCCAATCCCTGGGCCACAGACTGCTACCAGTCCACGGCCTGTTAGGAACCATGCCACACAGCAGGAGATGAGCAGCAGGCAAGCAAGTGAAGCTTCATCTGTATTTTCAGCTGCTCCCCAGTGCTAGCATCACCGCCTCAGCTCTACCTCAGATTGCCAGGCATTAGATTCTCATAGGAGCACCAGTCCCTGGTGCCAAAAAGGTTGGGGACCACTGCCCTAAGGGGCTTATAATGTGAAGGTACCTTTCGACTGAACCTCTCTGCCCTCTGCCTCTCCCTGTTCTCACACCACCTACTGGGAAAGCTACACTGTGTGAACATAAACGGATGTTGACAGTACAGTATGGAAAGTGCTAGGAAAGAGATGCTCAGGGTACTGGGGATCCTTCTTTGCTAACTCTAAAATTGTTGCAGTTTTTATTTTCCCGAAGCTCAGTCTAATCTGGGAGTCATTAGATAACGGAAATTCTGGTCATGATGCTCCAACAGACTTGCTGTGTGACTTTGGACAAATCACTTTGCTTTGTGGAGACTCAGTTTTTGACCTGTAGAATGAAGGGGAGTGGAACAGGCCAGGAATTGAAACTATTTTCTACTCTTGCTTCACTTCCCACTCTCACACCGATTAGACATAGCTAATAAAGGCAGGCACTTTTCCCGCAGATTCTACACAAGGCCACACGTATTTTTCTCCACACAGTGTACATATGAAGCACACTTACATACGTTCTCTTATTTAAAATTCCCAGCAGCCTTGCGAGGTAGGTAATATTATCATATCACAGATGAGGACACTGAGGCTCAGAGTTTAAGTGACTTGCCCAAGTTCATACATTGAGTTACTAAGAAAACTGGGACCAGAAACAGCCTTTTTGTTATGTTAAAGCTGCCACTCAAAAATCCCTTCTAATTCCAGAAATCTAAGGGTATAAACAGCTGCATCAGAAAAATGAAGCAATAATACGACATTTACATCCATAGTCTGGCACGTGGCAAATGCTCAATACATGTTTATCGAAAGGAGTAACACGCCCTAAGGATTTACTATAGGTCCAGTGTTGACAGGGTGTAAGAATGGATACAACTCAGCTTATTCAAGAAGGAAAGGCAGACAGTTAATTGTAAAACCAGCTCAAATAATGGAGCCTAGATCAGGGAGAGGACAGTTGATCAATATTTGACTGCAGAAGTAAATTAAAAGGGCCAGTGAAATAATATTTATTAAGTACCACCCACGGGCCAGGAAACCATAACAGATTATTTACATATGGTAACTGCTCATTTTATTTGTGCCACAGCTCTGTGAAGCAGGTGATATTTTCTCTATTTTACAGTAAAAATGCTATGACTAGGAGAGGCAATATGACTTGCCCAAGAATTCAGCTGAGGAATAGAGCAGGGGTTTTGAACTTTCCCATAACACTGCACGGTACTAAATCTAGTCTCAATTGTTAGCTATGAGGCTTGGCCAAATCCTCTTAATTTCTGGCTCTCAGTTTCCTTCTTGATCAAATGAGAAAAATAAATTCTGTCCTTCCAATTTTATCTCCCACATTTATTTAAAGGATAAAAAAAGATAAAGGGCACGAAACTGAGATAAGGATTAGTCTGTGTTTCAGTAAAGTTACTCTTCGACCAGCAGTTCCACGGCTAGGGTCTCTCCTAAGTAAATAAATAAGAAAGTGAACAAATATTTATGTAAAGTAATGGTCACTACGGTTTAATTTATAATAATTAAGAAATGGAAAAATAAATGTATAACACTAAAGAGTTAGTCATATGACATGTCTATAGGATGGAATATAGCGTAGTCAATTGAAATGATACTTATGAAGAGTTTTAAAGATCTCAGTAAAATATTTATGATATAATGTTAAGTGAAAAGGAGCAGGATACAAAACTAATGAAAGTATGATCTTAGTAATTAAAATATGCATAGAAGATATAGACTAGTATGTATAGTATGTTATCATTTATATGTAGATTAAAAGTACAAACAGACCTCTATGCTGATAGATGCAAAGACTATCTCTGAAAGATATATAGATTTGTAACATGTTTGCCTCTGGGGAGCAGAACCAGAGACTAGGAATCAGGGGTAGAAGCAAGATTTACTTTTCACTGTAAACCTTTAGGTTTCACATTATTTATTTTTTTTTATGCTAAAAACTAAGAAAATAATGCAAACTGCAGATGGTGACAAAGTGGTACTTACAAGTAGTAAAAGTTTTTTAAAAATGTTTTCAATGTGTATATTACCTTTTAGGTTAACAAATAATAATTTGTTATAGTTTAAAAATAGATGGCATTTCGTTGCATCCCAAAAATAAGGGAGGAATTACACTTATAATGTTAATAATGGCAGTTGCTGGATGAATAGGATGTCTGGTAACTAAATTTTTCTTTTTTAAACTCTTGTGTTTTACTTTTGTAATTTTTAAATTAGAAATATATACTTTCAAAGTAGAAATTTTCTCTTGTAAACAAAGATGTCTGGCAGCAGAGCAGAGGATAATGTGAAGCCATTGTGATTGCTTCCCTTGTTTTAGGTAGAAAAAAGTGTAATTCCATTGAATTGCCAATTCTTGAAACAGGCTCTGCCTTTTGTACCATGAAAACTGAAAAGTTAGGACTATGAGAGAGTTTATACACCCTCCCCTCCAATCTCACTTTCTTCTCCCATGTAAATGTTATGCCTCAGTCTCCAACGGTCCAGGGTATGTTCCACACCCACCTAGTGAGCCCTGTCATGGGGCAGATTGATACAAGGATGTGGCCCGGGGTCTCAGATAAAGGCTTGAGAGCTGGGAGAAAAGAGAAGGAAGAACAGAAGCCACCAGAGGCTAGTGGTGGCATATTTAAAGAGATATTATTAAAAGGCTGCTAATAATCCCACATATTTGTCTGACCTTTCTTCAAGAGAGCTTTAAACAGTCTACATTTGTCAGCTGCTTATCCTTACAGCTCACCAGAAAGGCCCATAGAGCTAAATCTATCAGTCTCTCTTTTCTTTTGGGGAAAAAGGTAGGAATTCCTAAAGGCAGTGACACCTGGACATTATCTCATGTTAGGGTTGTCCTCGCACCCTCCTGTGACCATCACCCAGCCCATCTGAGCACTTGATGCTGGGCACAAGAAGAGGTCGCAGGTGGAGAGTGTATCTGTGGCTGGTAAGAAGCAATTAAAGATTCAAATAAGACTATGGGACCAAGTGCTGGATTATGGAGTTCAGACCCAAAGTGTTTTAAAAAAGGAGAGGATGGTGGTCGGTCTGAGAGAGCTGGGGTCTCAGGGAAGGCCTGGCATGTAATAAATACTTGCTGAGTGAATGAATGAATGAATGAATGAATGAATGAATGAATGAGTGAGTGAACAAATAAACAGAGGATCTAAGCTTTGAAGGATTTAGAATGATAAGACTTATGTTCACAACTGTGTGGGATTTACCAGTTTATTAAGGTCTTACTCATTGTTATCTTGTTTGAGTCTCGTAACAGCCCTGTGAGAAAAGCAGAACTAAAATTGTTCTCCCCATTTTCCAGATAATGAGTTTGGGTCCCAGAGTAATGACATGACTCATATTAATTCGGCACACATTTACTGAGTGCTGATTATGTACTAGGACTTGTGCTAGAAGCTAGAGGTGCGGAAATGAAGTACATTAAGTCTCAGACGCTTGGCCTAAAGGAGGAGCTGGACTAGTAAACGTTTCTGAAATGATACAAGTGCCGTTAGTGTGCTCTGGGAGCACAGGGGCAGGACTTCATTTAGATCTACAAGGATGAACAGGAGCTTATTAGGAGGAGATAAGTGTTATAGGCAGAAAGAAAGAATACATGCCTAAAGGGACAAAAGCAAGAAATAATGTGGCATATTTGGAGTAAAGCGTAATTTGGTATAACAGTAACACAGATTGGTAGGGAGAAGGCTTAGGGGAAGAGAAAGTTTAGAGAGTTTATGCTTTGGTTAGTTGGTTCTTTGTGAAGATGAACAGTTTGGGCTTGATCTTTAGAGCTGTGGGGAGCCATAAAAATTCTTGAAATGAGAATGATAGCCCTGTCCTGGACATTTATTGGAATGTTCATGTGTTTGCTGTTTTGGCTTTTTTTCCCCCAAAACTCAACTCAGGAGCTGCCTCATACAGAAGACTCCTTGACCATCATGCCTCCAAGTTGGATTAGGTGTTTCTTGTGGGCTTCCTCAGCTAAAGCTTCTCTGCTATCACTTATCTCCTGCTTATATATTCTATTCTGTGGCCACTCAGAAGTCAGATATCATGTCTAATTTATATTTGTATTCCCCAGGCCCAGCACAGGGTTTGACCCAGACCAAGGTGCTCAGTAAATATTTGCTGAAGGAATAAATGGGAGGAGCTGGGTCCCACCCCAGTCCTGATACAACATTGGGACAGGTGCAGTGATAGAGTGATTCTTAGTAGTGTGTGTTTCCTCATTGATGCTGGGATAGGGAATGAGTATGTGACTCTAGCAGAGTGACCATTAAAAAACACTGATGACTCAAGGTGACACTGGAAGTGTGTTTCTGAATGACCACAGGTCTCTCTTGCAGATGGCTTCCGTGACTGATGGTAAAGCTGTAGTCAAAGATGCTTCTGACCAGACTTTTGACTACATGTTCAAACTGCTCATCATTGGCAACAGCAGTGTTGGCAAAACCTCCTTCCTCTTCCGCTATGCTGATGACACCTTCACCCCAGCCTTTGTCAGCACGGTGGGCATTGACTTCAAGGTGAAGACAGTCTACCGTCATGAGAAACGAGTGAAGCTGCAGATCTGGGTGAGTCCTGGGCATCTTGGGCAGGAATGTCCTGAGAGGTGACTAGTGCACTGGTACAAAGCCTGCGAGGTGGAGCTAGTTTGAAACTTCTGGGTCTTATGGCATTAGGCACCAGTGCTGTTGCTGGTCTGGCTCCTGGTCTGCCCCCTTGCTGGTTTTATACAGGTTTGCTCTCCTCTGGGGGTTCAGGTAGTTCTGCTGCTTAAGAAGATCTATCCTGGCCTGTATGAATGAGTGACTGAGAATCTGGGCTTTGGAGTTAGAGACCTGGATTCAAATTCCAGTTCTGTCCCTTATTAGACATGGAACCTTGACTATATTACTTAACATCTCTAGACAACCCTTTTCTCTTTGGAGATTATAACAGCATCTACATTATAGGGGCATGGGGTGCTTAGCATAGTTCCTGGAACATAGTGAATACGCAATAAATGTTAGCGACTGTCTCCATAATCTATCACTGCATAGCAAATCACTTCAAAACTTGATGGCTTAAAACAACAGCAATAATTCATTCAGATGATCTATATAGAAATAGATCAGTTTCTACAGATCCAACATTTGGGAGTGACTTAGTTTCTGCCTTCTGGCCACTTATGAGGTTGCAGCCAGATGTCAGCTTGAGCTGCAGTCATCTGAAGCCTTGAGTGGGGCTGGAGGATCCCTTTCCAAGGTGGCTCTGTATTGGCTGTTACTAGCTGTCACGTATCTGGTACTGGCTGTTGGCAGGAGACCTTCCCATGTGGTTCTCGCCACAGAGCTACTTATGTGTCATCATGGCATGGCAGCTTGCTTCCCCCAGGGGGAGAGATCCAAGAAATCAAAGAGGAAGTGGCAATGTCTCTCATTACTTAGCCTTAGAGTATTTTGTTGGTCACTGATTCAATGTAGGAGGAAACTACACAAAAGGATGAATCCTGGGAGGTAAGGATCATTGGGGACCATCTTGGAAGCTAGCCACAGCTATTATTGGTATTTACCAGTGGTATTAATAAACCATAATCATATTTGAGATGATATAGCAACATGTAGATCATATACTTTTTAATAATGAATTAGCACCAAGATTGAAAATTTTGAAAATCTGCAATTTAAAGTATTCAAAACATGTATTATTATCTGTGCATTCATCTTGTTAAATGTACATTAATACATCATACATATATCTTATTGGTATAGTCTATATATAGCATTTTTCTTTTTACAAGTTATTTCCATATATTAATATTATCTCACAAGTAACTCCATGAGGCGGATATTATTTTAATACACTCCTATTTTACAAGAGAAAAAATTCAAACTCAGAGAGTAATTAACTTGCCCTAGGTTGACCACACAGGTATAAAGTGGGATTCCAGCTCAGATGTTCCAATTCTAAATTATGTTCCTTTTTTCTCTACACTGTAGAGAGGCACATTAGGCCTTATAGAGCCCATATTTTCATGTATGATAATGCTAAGTATTAACATAGAGAAATAAAAGTTTATTTTGCTCATTGAATCTCTATCAAAAGCATTGAGGAATCATAACTCATTAGAAATGCGAGAAGCTGTACATTTAGTTCACTGGTTCTAGAAGCGTGGTCTCCAGATCAACAGCATTGTTATCACTCGGGAATTTGTTAGAAATGCACATTCTCAAGACCCTCCTCAGACCCACTGCACCTGAAATTCTGGAGTGTGGCCTAGCAATCTGTGTTATAACAAGTCTTCCAGGTGGTTTGGAGGCAGGCTAAAATGAAAGAATCACTGATCTAGTTTAACTACCTCATGGTAAGAACCAATAATCACTTATTAAGTACCTATTATGCAGCCAATGCACAAAAGGGGTGAGAACACAGGGTATTTGGGGGCATGTGAGCAATACCTTGAACAAGGCTGTGAAAGAACAGGGAGGGGTTGCTGAGAGAGAAATTTTCTGGAGAGGCTATCAGGCAGAAGCTTGGGGGTCAGGGAAACCTTGCACAACAATACAGAAGGTTCTTGCCATGCGCCAGAGGGTACATGGCTGATGATTTTCTTGGGAGCTGAAGAAACTATAGAGTTTATTTTTTATCTATGAAGATAAAATAAATGTTTACTGATATTTACTGTATGAATTGACACAGATGTCTTCATCTGATCTCCACATCAGTCGGTCACATAACCTACATTCAAAAAATCTTCAGGTCAGAAGAGACATTTTCCCCTTCTAAGGGATTGGCAGTGGTGTCTTCTTCACTCCTTTATTCATTTTCAGCCCTTGTGAGCTGTTGCAGTTTTCCCGTACCTGGTTAAGTAGATTTATTGATTATACTACCTAATTTTAACTAACTGAACCCTCACAATGGATATGAGACTTTAAAAGAGTCTGGCAACGAAGCCTCTGATTGAAGAGTGTAGCACGAATGAGCACAGAAAATGGCTGAACTGATGGTTCTCTGACTCCTAGCACAAGTTCATTGTCAGCCGTGTTTTGAGGTAAAACCAATGACAATCTAGGTAGATCTGACACAGTCAATCACATTGCTTTTGCTAAAAAAGTTAGCAAAGGGTTTTTGCGTGCATGTGTGTGTGTATGTGCTTTTCTGTACCAAAAAAAGTTTTCTGTATTGTTCATAAAGACACTAAAATGTAAACATTTAAATATTGTTCGTCATTTTTATGTATTTTAACATCTTTATATATAAAAGTAGACATATATGTATATATAGCCTAAGGACATATATAAATATATGCCTACATTTTTCTTACTTAACATGAGTATAAATTTGGAGAGCACTACCATAGATATTAGGGAGCCATCGAAGGGTTTTAAAAGATCAGATTTGCATTTTAGAAAAATCTCTGGTTTCAGTTTAGCAAGTAAATGGAAGTGAGGCAAAGAAACCAGTGGTTTGGGTAAGTTATAAGGGCCCAAGCCTCATGTATTAATCTGCTTGAGATACCATAACAAAATACCACAGACTAGATGGCTTAAACAAAACAGAAATTAATTTTCTCACACCTCTGAAGACTTAAATCCAAGATCAAGGTGGCAGCAGCGTTGATGTCTGGCAAGAGCACTCCTCTTGGGTTGCAGACCCCTGCCTTCTTGCTGTGCACTCACACGGCCTTTCCTTGGTGTGTACACATGGAGAGAGAGTGGGCGAGTTCTCTGGTGTCTCTTCTTAAAAGTATACTAATCCTATCAGATAAGAGCCCCAACCCTTATGACCTCAATTAACCTTAAAGACTTCCTTAGAGTCCCCATCACCAAATATAGCCACACAGGGGTTAGGGCTTCAACACATGAATTTGGGGACACAAATATTCAGTATGTAACACTACGACAATGACAAAATGACTTTAGGGATGGAAATGAGGAGAGAGATTCGAGATAGATTTAAGACTAGAATTTACAAAATTTGATGATCAAGTAATTGTACAGGGAGAGGGAGGAGCACTTATCTACTCATACATATTTACTTTCATATAAGTTCTGGGATTTTTTTTTTAAAGCTATGTGAGCTTTGGTAAATCACTTCACTTCTATGAATAGATAATATCTTCACCTATAAAAGTCTCACAGGTTTGTAGAGGGGCGTGGCTACATGTGATACATAGTCTTATGCCTGGCACATATCAGGAATACAATAAGTTAGGTTCTTTCCTTTCTCTGCTTGTGATTCACATGCAAATGGTGACTGGGCCTCCCAAGGCTTCCCACCTGTGGTTGCAGGAGTGCTGGAACAGCATCCAGGGACTCACTAGCACAGTTTGAAGTGTTCAGTTAAATTTCTCCAGCTCATTTGATCTCTCCCAGGGAATTTCAGAAGACCATTGTCAGGATGGAAGGTGGAGAGGGAAGAAGAGGAAGATATGAGCATCGCTGAGCAGGACCATCCACAAAAGGAGTTTCTGTCACTTCTGAGGAATGTTAGACGATGAGCACATTGGTAGTGCCTTGTTCCCTGGAGTCCCTTGCCACATAGGTTCCTGAGAGCCCTTTCTGTTTCCTGGGAGGTTAATTATTGTGGATCAGAGAAGAGGATCTTCCTGGAGAGGTGGAGGTGGGGAAGAAGTCTCATTAATAGAGAGTGAGAGACGCACAGATGTGAAGGGAGGGAGACCTGAAAGCTCCACAACAACAGACCTGACTAGAGGCCACTTACAGCATGCTTGGCGCTGGTTGCCAGGCAACCCCTGGAGACCTGTGGGAAGAGATGAGCTATAGTGGGCCTTTCACTACCTCCACGTGGGGCCCATTGCAGGGACTATTGGGTCTTGTGCTGGTCAAGGGAAGAATCCCAGGGTCTATGGGAGGACTGAGCTGACCATGGTCTTTGGAGTCCTGGGTCCAGTCTTGGCTCTGCCCTGCAGTCATTGTGTGATCTGGAGTGACCCTTCCCCTCCATAGGCCTACCTATCAAATGGAGAAAATAATTCTTGCTTTTCTTACCTCATGGGTTGTTGTGAAGATCAAGTTAGGAAGTGGAAAGGAAAGCCCAAGGAAAGCTATGAAGCCTTCAGTAGATCATGACTACAGATATTGTCAGCTATGAGAATTCATCCTGTATGTGCTTTAAATCAGTCTTCGTGTCTTTTATACCTTTCCCTTGATCCAGGGAGGTAGTTATCTCCTTAATGTGTGGTTGAGGTCAGAGATGTCAAGTTACTTGTGTGGAGCCAAACAGTAAACTTCATTCTTTCATTCATTCTAGAGATATTTATCTGATGCTCTCTCCATACCAGACATCATGCTAGCCGTGGGGAAATGCCCTTCCTGCTGTCATGGAGTGTACACTCTAGTTGGGAAGTATGTGAATAAAAAATGTCTGATTTCATCTGTGGTAAGGGCCCTGCAGGAAAAGAATAGACTTGTTTCTAACCCAGGCACTGGGACTCAGAGCTCAGGAATCACTGTGACTTAGGTGTCATCTCTGGGCTTGCAGCTGGAGTTCAGGCTCAACACTATTCATAATGTAAAAAGCTAGCTTAGCTGATGACCTTCACCACATCAGCTCACCCCAGGCCCGGTCC